TTTTTTGTGTTGAATTTTTTAAAAGTTTAACTGTCACGCTTTATTATTTTTTTGCCTTTTTTTTTTTTTCATTCTTGCTGCTATATCCAATATTCTCTCTTTTTTTTCAGTTCCACATTCCATTCTTTGTGGCATTGTTTCAAGGAGCGCCGCATCCATGCGTTCCATTTGGGAAAAATAGAACAATAGATGGATTTGCAGCCTGTGGGCAGCAGCAGCTGCCGATTTATCAGGCACACGTTTGGATTTTTTCTAATCTTTTGCGCCTGACTGGCAATTATTTTCGGGAGAGATGTAGGATTTATATGCGAGAGCGGCACATGCTCTTGGGCAAACATTGACTAAATTCACACACAAACCGAGGCAACCTCAGCATCATCATCATCATCAGCATCATCATCAGCATCATCATTATCATCGGCACATTATTAGTTAGGCCTTGGGATAGCGACTGAGACTCTGGCAGCTAGTCACTTAAAAAATAAAATGCTGCTCATTAGTCGAGGCGGAACGTGAGAGAGAGGGAGAGAGAGAGGGAGAGAAAGAGAGAGAGAGAAATTAAGCGACGTTCAACCTTAATTACGCCAACCTCTTGCCATGGCCAGCTGGTTTGGACCTCTTGTTATTCTTTCGCTATGCCAAAGTTGTTTGCCTCATTTTCAGTGTCCCTTTTCGAGCTCCACTTAAAGTTTTCATTACAGCGAAGAAATTTGCATTAGGAAAAGCGTGCGCGCAACAAAAAAAAAAAAAAAAAAAGAATAAAAGAAAGGAGACAGAGAGAAAGAGAGAGAGAGAGAGAGAAGAATATAGTGCCAATAGGTGGTGTGGCAAAATCTTGGTGGGTAAGGTACAACTTTTGATTACACGCCCGTAGGACGAGGCGACGACGTTAACTTTGATTATGTGCACCCGTCGGACCTGGCCTGGGAGACTCCGTGGGTTTTATGATGCGCTAAATTGATTTGCCTGCCAGTTATTAAGGCATAACTAAAAATATTAACGAACCGAGCCAAGCTGACGACCCATCATTTATCACTAGAAAACTTTTTTATGGTAATGTCGCGCACTCTGTCTCTCTTACTGTCAGTGTCCCTGTCTCTGTCGCTGCCTCTGTCTCTGTCTCTCTAGATAAATGTTGAGCGAAGGACGGCGACGCCGCCATTCTCCGTGCCATGAGTTGACAGCGCATCCAACGAGGTCGTCTCGCTGAGATGTTGACAAGTATCAATTCTCACACATGTGTGTGTGCGCGTCTTAGTGTGCGTGTGTGTGTGTCGCCATATTTCTATTTCCGTTGCAAATTGATAATGCGAAGGTTTATTGGCTTGCCATTGGGCACAAATGATGGGCTCGCCGTCAATTTGTATGCACGGCTATGAAAAGCCAAAACAAATGAAAACTATAAACAACAGTTGAATGCGTTCATTGCTTATGCAGTTCATATCAGGCAGGAGAATTATCCATTAGCTTTATTCTGCTTGTCAGATCGGACTGTTTGTTTAATCTAGAGATCAATTTGATCATTATAATTATTGAAAAGATGTGCTTGATGAGAGAAATGTTTATGAGTAGGCGAAAATTGAGGAAATTGAGTAAATAATTAATGAAAAAACTTTTGTATAGTTCAATGTAGCTAATATAAAAGGCAAAGAGCAGGACAAGTTGGTCTTAAATAGGACCATCTGGCAACCCTAATAGGCTGCACAGGCTCAAGGCGGTTATTTCAGAGATATAATATTCAAATGGTGCTGTCAACATATCTGCTTGAACTAATTAAAAGTTGAACTAATTAAAATGTTATCATCAACAGAAATTCTGTTCATCTTTGATAAAAAAGAAAAAAAAAAACAAAAAACAAAAAAAAAAAAAAAAAAAACATGGGTCCGGCGAATCATGCAATGTTCCTAGATGGACCCATCGAATATGAACAGCCCTGTACATAAAAACAAAGTTTGCCATCTTATATGCCAGCTATATTCTAATGGAAAAGCGCGAGTCTCCTGATTAATAATGATAATGATAATAATGAACAAATAATAATGAAGAAATGTTTCTGAGCAGGCGAAAAGGGCTAATTAAATAATACAATAAGAAAACATTTATGCAGTTAAAGACATCTAACTTGGCATTTCATATGAAAGATGAGTTGGCTGTCTTGAATGCCAGATATGGTGCAAATCAAAAAACGTGAATCTGCTAATTAATATTTGTGCTGATACAGTTACTATGTGCCGCTCCACTGGACTCAGCACAGTTACTCGAATCTAATTCGTGGCAGCTGGAGGCAGAGAAGGAGAGGGAAATGCAAATGGATGTGCATAGTGGGGCAGGGCAAGCTAGTCGGGACTTGCTTAATTATTAGCTAAATAAATAAGGACAGCAAATGGCTGCATAAAGCACAAGCAGACAATTTGTGAAATGTCGGGCAGAAAAAATGGGGGTAGAGAAGGGAGGCGGAGGCGGAGCGGATGCGGAGGCGGACGTGGGGAACGACTTTTGGACGTGCATGAATTTTATGCGAAGCAGACAAAAATTGAGCAGAGAGAACGGAATAATTAGAAAGTGTTAAGGCAGCGTGTGCAGGTGCGGGCGAGGGGGCGAGTGGGCGAGGCAGAGGCTGGGCGCAAATTGGCAATCAAGGCAGCTCCAAGGGGAAGGGCGGAGGTAGCTCAGCTTTGTGTAAATTTTACGCAATTACAAAACAAGTAAAAGAAAAACGCAGAGTGAAAGAGAGACAGAGAAAGAAAGAGAGAGAGAAAGGGAATGGAACGCTAATTACTTTTCACAGATAATTAGAACGGAATGGGAGCGGAGCTGGGCTCAGCGCGTGCCGAGCACATTGCGTATACGCACCTTAATTTTCTAACACGCATCACAGAAATAATAACAAGCAGATTGCCGCAGATGGCCGCAATGATGATTAACAGCATGACGGATGCCTTGAGCACCCAGATCAGATCGTCGAACCAATCCTCGGCCCCCTCGGCTGCGGCAAGTCCTGCATCCAGCGTGGCTCTGCTGTCGTTGTAGAGCGCGCCGGACGTGCTGCTCAGCAGCGTGGCATTCAGATCGTGTGTGGCGGGCAGGGGCGTGGCAGTGCCTTGCAGCGGCAGTGCGACGGCATCGAGGGCGCCGGCCGTGGCGGTCAGCGCGTTCGTTGTGTGCAGCACGGCAGCCGTGGTCAGCGCCGCCGTGGCGCCGATCAGCCTCAGACTGAGGCCGGGGCTGCTCCTTGGGCTCGTTGTGGTGCGTCGTATTGTGGTTGCAGTTGCAGTTGCAGTTCCAGTTGCTGTGGCTGTTGCTGTCGCCAGTGGCGACTCGAGCTGTGCCGCTGGCTCTGGTTGCATCTCTGGCCGCTGGCCACTGCAGCGGCAAAGTCTTTTGCGTATCCTTGTGGCGCTGCTTCTGTGTCGCATCGTTGTTGTTGTTGTCGCCGCAGCGCTGGATAATGCGGGCAGATGGCCCAGCTCCAGACACGGACTAGCTGGCATTTGACTTGACTTTAGCATAGACACAGACACAGACACAGTCACAGTCACAGTCACAGTCACAGGCACGGCACGGACAGGAGCTCTTTCACTCGCTTTCTCAAATATTCTTTTTGTAGCTTTTTGCTTGGTTTCACTTGCAGCTGTTGCGGCTGCTCTTGGCCCGCTTTCGCTAGCCTCTCAAACGGATTCGAACTCGAACTCGAACTCGCACTCGCACTCGGTCTGGGTCTTGGTCTCAATCTCTTGCACTTGTGTTAATTCGCTGGGCGAGCAGCTGCGCCATTAGGGATTCGCGACACGCGTGGCGCTAGCGACGTTGAAATCAAAACTGAAACGGCCACCGCAACGGAAATTGATTCGCGGACCGTGCGACGGCAAAGGCGACGCACACGGCAGCGGGACGACAGAGAGACGGCGAGGGAGACGGCGAGGGAGACGTCAACGTCAACGTCAACGCCAACGTTCAGCGTTCAGCGTTCGTGTCGCTCTTGGTGGCTGTCCTTGCCAACGCTAGCCGACGCCCACTCAGCTCGACTGTCGTTGTTGTTGTTGTAGTACTTGTTGTTGTTGTTGTTGTTGCTGTTGTTAAAGATAATATTATTATGGAGACGTCGCTGTTGCTGGACTCGCTCGCGTTTTGGCTATGCGGCTTCTGTTTTTATTTTACTCTATTTGTTGTTGTAGCAGCCTCTGCTCGCTGATTGGTTTTTTGCTTGCTTCAAGCGACTGCGTTTTAATTCTGTTCATTTTTGTTCTTTCGTTTTCTAAAATTTATTTTACTTTTTCTTTTTATACATATATATATCTATATGTATATGTATATGTGTATGTATATGTGTATATTATTTTTTTCTTTTTGATTGCTACGGCGACCGTGTCGCTTAGCTGCTGCTGCCGCTGCCGCTGCCGCTGGTTGTGGTAGTGCGGCTACTGCCACTAGATTTAATATTTGTTGTATTTATTTTTAACATTTCTTGTCTTCAATCTATTTTCAGCACTGTTCGTGCAAGTGGTTTTCACATTTACATACAAATACTGCACCAACTCACAATGTTTCCACGCTTTCGCCGTTCTGCCATGAAACCAAAAAAACGTTGGAAATACATAAAAACTCATGCGTTTGCTATTCATAATTGCTGTTGTCGTTGTTGTTGTTTTACTCTTGTTTTATGCTTTTTGTGTATCGTAATTAAGTTGTTATATGTATATGTATATGCTGTACAATTTGCTATCACATTTGTATTGATTTTAGTCAATATTTGTTTATTCGCTGACGTAGAAATATTATTTGAAATGGATTTGGTTTTTTGCTTGAGTGGCATTGGCCATACAGGGTGCCCATTAAACAACTAACACGAGATATAAGATAGTATTTATATTATTTTCCTTATCATTCCCTGCGACTTTTATTTCTATGCCAAAGATCAATCTTTGAGTAGTCAAAGCGAAATTGGCGCCGTTTCGTGTTTTTGACAAACACAGGGTGCCTCACTCAAGGCATTTCTGTTTCGTAATATAACTAAATAGTTGACCAAAATAAGTGCTATAGTCTATTGCTAGCTTTCATATCGCACGCATCCTGTCGAACACCCTGTATGCTGCAAATGATTTATATGACGACAGCTGCGCCGAGGAATGTCACTCTCTTGATGCTTTTTGCTGCTCGCTCCAAGATATTTTCATTAGCTCTACACATTGCCCATTCCTATGCTCTCTTTGCAATATTCAAGCAACTTAGTTGAAAAAAAAAATAACTAAATAAAAATAAAAATAAATAAATAAAACAACTCAAAATGAAATCCTAATGCTATTATTATTGTGTTTCGAGCTCTGTTGCCTTTAGTCACTTTATCTATATTTATGTAGATGTATATAGTCTAGGCTATAATTGTATGCGACTCTTGTATGTTTTTGTATGTATTTCTATTTAAAATATTCTCTAATTTTTTTCTGAATTAATTTCCTGGTGATGTTTTATTTTCATGTTCGCACACGCTTTTAGCTCTGGCAACGTGGCCGCCTTTTTGATGTTATTGTATGAGTCTGTTCGTGTCGTTGTTGTTGTTGTTGTTGTAGCACACAACAAATTGGCCACTCGCATTTTGGCGGCCACGAGCTTTAAATTAGACGCCCAGCTGCGTAGGTTTATTTCATTTTGGATTTACTCGTTTGCATGACACATTTTTGAGCACTTTCGTATTTGATTTTTTACTGGCTGGCTTTTAGCACAGGGCAGCCAAAATACTGTTAATTAAGGCAACTGTCAGCAAAGGAAGTTGCTCGCATTGAGCCGCAGCATATTGCCAAAAAGATTCGCTTGCTGCCGTTGCTGTCGGCGATGTCGCCACGCCCTGGCGCAAGTCCAAATCAAGCAACTGCAATGAAATGGAAATAGAAATTCAGAACAGGTTATATAAATAAATTCATATTAAATTCTATAAAATATAAATTAAGTGCGCATAAATATTCGAAAACCAACCCGACACACACACGCACACACTTAAAATAAAGGGGGATAATAATTTTCAAAAAATATATAGGCATATATATAAATACATATACAGCGGTGATCAAAGCGCTCTGCCTCAGCGGCACTTTTAAATTTATATTTTTATTAATTTTCAAATTTATAATTTTGCACCCAACGGGCGACGCCTTTCGCCATGCGGCTCGAGCCGTGGGTGTTTGATTAATTTTTGTGGCCAAACTAATTTCCATTAATTTGAACTCAAATTGAAGAAGTGGATATAAGCAAACAGAGGCTGCCACGCCTCACCTTTCGATTGACGAAAAGCAGCTAAGCTGATTGCTTTTGCTATTAGCGGAAATCCATGAGCGAAGCCCCCTTGACTGACAATTGTCGACAGGCCAGAAGGCGGAAGACTCAAACATGGATCCACCAAAAACAGACCCCCAAAATGTACAGCACAGCCAGCTGCCAAATGCTCGGTGTGTATGCGTGTGTGTGTGTGTGTGTGTGTGTGTGTGTGTATGCACTTGTGTTAGCTTGTTTCCATCGTTCAGTCAACGCCTTTGAATACGCAGATTCCAATGTTAATGTCATGAAAATTATTGTATATCTGCATACATGCATACATACACACATATGTGTATATACATTTACATATATTTTGTTGTTGCTGCTTCAAATTCAATTTCACCCTGCACATTTGTAGTGCTTTGTTGTTGCTGCTGCTCTCGTTTTGGCTGTTGACGTGGACGACGTTTTTGCTCTTGGCATTGTGCGTCCTCGTTGGCGGTTGTTGTATTTAGTTTGTTGCCTCTGCCTCTGCCACTGCCTCTGCCGTTGCGTCTGCTCGCTGGGCTGCCAAATTATGGCGCACATGCCAAAACAGAAAAACGAGAAAACAAAGAGGCGATAGTAAGAGCTGAAGCAGAGCAACCTATGGCCCGGATAGGCATGGCAAGACAAGGCGTATTCAGGCCCTCAGCGGCGAGTCTGAGTGGAGCAGCTGCACTTGGCTGAGATGTGCCATGCGGCGGCAGTAGACGCTGCTAATTAAGCTTAACATACTTTCCAGGGCACCTAGGGGCCGTATACATGCGGTATGCACTGCTGCCACGCCCACATCCGTATGCAAACTTTGTGCATGCTTTATCTTGCTTCAGTTTTAAATTAATTAACTAGCATTTATTTTTATTTAATAAACAAAACTTTTAATTCAACAGAGAAACATTGCCGCATACCGCATGCCGCATCCCGTTCGACTCGAAGCTTTATGTTACTCCTCCCCAATCCCCTCTCTCCTCGTGTCGATGCTTGCTGAAACTCATTTTGGTAACAGTGTTTGTGCTCACTCCAGCTCCACCCCGCCCAGCCCCACCCCGCCCCACCCGTATGCCAGGTATTACACCTGAGCTCTCAGCTCAACTAAATTGGTTTTGTGTTTCTTGGCAAACTGCTGGGAAAGCTTCATTCATTAAATTTCACTCTCTGCAATTTGAATTCACAAATTTTCAGCCTATCTATGCGAATTTCCATCCTCAAAGCAGTTGCTACAAAATATTATTTCTGTCAATAAAATTTCTGTTATTTCTAGAAAAAATTCTCTAGCTGTTATTTTCGATTCTTCAAGCACATTCATGAAATTTTTGTAAACATCTTTAAGCGGAATTTTAGTAAATTTATAGCAATATATCTGATTTTCTATGGCTAGAATTTCTTTGAGTTCTTTATTGAATCAAAAGCTGCTTGTTAAATATTTTACTGTTTTAATTTTTTTATTTATATGGGGCACTTTGTTTTTAATCAATTTACTGTATACAAAGTGTTGTGTTTATTATTTTGTATATATTTTTTATTTTATTATTATTACTTTATTATTATATATTCAAATAATGATATTTAATATTTTGCAAGATATCTTCAATAAAAAAACTTCAATTTAAGCCAGTTTAGCATTTCTACATGAGAGAGCACTTCTACATATATCAAAGGAATCCACATAATTTTCGTTCGCCCCTCCTCCTGCTGGGCATTAAGAGCTTAGCAAATAAAAAAAAAAAAAAGAAAAGAAATATAGAAAAAATTGAAACAAATACCGAACAAACATTGATGTGTCACAGTAAATTTGCCGGCGGCAGAACTTTTGTTGTTGTATTTTCTCTTTTTAAACACCCAAATTGCGGCGCGAATAATATCAATTTATTTTTATTGTTATTTCATACATGTCAATTGATGAGGGAGAGGGAACAGCACCAACGGCAGCCGTCTGCTAGATGCAATGGCACACTTGAACTTTAAATCGATTCCCAGTTCCAATTCCAATTTACGCACGGAGTCTGCAAATAAATCACCCGACTAAAGGCGCTTACAGACAGACTGTGCCATATCTTCTTCCATGCTATATACATATATATATTTATATATGTATAGCTAGCTACATCTCCTTCTGTATACATATATATCGAGATATGATTGTATTTAATTTTCGCTTTCTCGACTGCAAGCCCAGCGCACAGCGGATAGCAGACAGAGACAGGCACACACAAAAGCCAGCCAGAGGATCCAGTGAGCTTTTCAATTTCAACAGCATAGATAAAGATGCCGGGCTGCCAACTGTAAACGATTAGGGCAAGAGATTTGGGCGGCACGTAAGTGGTGCGAGCGTGGGGCGGGCGGATTGAAAGTGGAGCGTATGCCTAAGGCGTTCAGATTTTATTGGCCGTAAAGTAGACGGCCATGAAATCGGAGTAGCAGTCGAAAGCCAGACGCTGAGACACTGGGACACTGGGGCCCAGCCAGAACCAGCAGCAGCAGCGGAAGCGTCCATTTAAAAGCCATTGTACTGGCACACACAATGAAAGCGAAAACTTGGCTAAACAGATGACAGAGAATACGCGGCGATTGATGCTATTGTGGTGCACAGTGTGAAGGATAAGCCGCACAAAACAAATGTCAAAGTCAACACCCAAACCACAATGAATGAGAGAGAGAGAGAGAGAGAGAGAGAAAGAGAGAAAGAGAGAGAGAGAGAGAGAGCAAAGTATTAGATAGAGAGAATGAGAGGTAGACATAGGCAGACACTTAAGCTGCTGTCTGAAAAACACGACAAAATAAGCATAAAAAGCAATAAAGGAAGAGCACGTATTGAATACAACTCTGCGTATGTGTGTGTGTGTGTGCGTGCCTAGACATAGTTAGAAAGGATGTACAGTTCGATTATTGTGGTCTGCTGAGTTCTGGGCAGATATTATCCCCCAATATACATACATATACATACGATTAAAATATACATACATAAATACACA